GCTGTATCAGAGTTCAAAGTTGAATTTATGTGATCTATGTACGTTGTAGTTTTATATGAAAAACGGCAATTTTTGGGGTCAGTTGTCCTTTAACTTTCCTTTACATTGTGGGTTCTCATTTGAGACCACACTCATTGATCTAGTCTATGTTTGCTATTTAGATATCTATCATTGTTAACCAGTATTCATTTTGAATACAAAAATCAAGTATTGTATTAATAAAGTCATTTTTTGAAAAGCCTAAAAACCTATTAATAATATTTGGATCGTGGTTTTTAATCACATGCGAACATGGAGGCGCTCATTGTGCGCCATAAATAAAACGAAGTTTTAGGAGAATCAAAAAACATCAAAAAAGGAAACAAAACTAAGCAAAGTCTGCTTCAGATTGCTGTGCCCTACAGCTCGTTCTCGAAGTGATTGTGAGTCGCGTGCTGGTTGATATTCATTCCATAGGAGCGGTATAAGAGGGTGCCAATGGGGGGTATACCCATTAAGTTTGCTGCTGCTAGTGATTGGAATGATTTGCCTAAAAGGATTTGAGAGAACTTAGCTCTTTTTCCATTTTTAAAAACAAGCTTATTAAGTATTTTTTAGATTTTGATAAGAAAGAGCACAAGTGTACTGTACGATAGATTTTTCATATATTCATCTAATTATTGAATTATTTAACTATTAATCTACGCTGAGGCACGGAAATACCGCGTTTTCGATATATGTGTATATATCTTTTATAGCCTAATGTTTTCTTTTTCGACTCCTGTATATAGAATGGATATATATATACAACTATTTCAAAAAACGTTGTCGGTCGGAGATCTGAAATCTGAGACCGAAAGGAATTGTGGGTTGTAAGCTGTAAATTGTTTGTGGTTTTAATAAGTAGTTTGCACAAAGTTAATATCTTGATATATCAACTTTGAGCGATGACCTGTGCTGGCAAACTATATGGGTAAGAGTATGTTGAATTTTTAACGAGAAAACACTCAGTCCCCCACAATTCTAATCGGTGCAAGATTTCTGATTTCAGATATCCAACCGACAACGTTTTTTGAAATAGGTGTATATATATGTATATGTTTTGTGGGCACGAAGTTTTCATGTCTGAAAATAATGAAATATCAGTTAGCTATCAACTACTAATTTTAGATTATTTGTCAGTTAACTACTCAGTGTTTTTTGTCCAATTGTCAGTTAACTACTAACGCCATTGGCACCCTCGTATTAATTCCAGAAGTAGTTAACGAGAGGGATATTTCTTTTATTGACGTTTGCGCATCGAAATATAAGTGATAATGGCATGCCATCAAATCTTATATAACTATCGTCTCACTTTTCATTCATAAGATATCTAAATAAATTCTACTCAAATTGTGTTAAGGTGGCTGACTACTTTGGTAAATGATAAACAGAAAATTGAAAATTGAACTTTTTAAACCTGAAATTTAATGCTGATTCCAAAAATGCAAAGAAAAATGGGGTGTCCCGAGCTTGTATTTTAATCACTCAGAAATGACATTTCTTGGAAGAAAAATAGCGAAAATCAAGCTCTGTACAAAAAAAATCATAAACAAAACTAAGGAAGAAAATGAGTAATTTTCTCCGAACACGTAACTTACACTATATTTATAGAATAATGATAAAAGTTGTTTTAATAAACTATTGTAGACAATGGAAAACCGGTTTTTTTTGTGTGTGTTCAGGTTCTACGATGTGCGAGTTATCGTAGAAATTGAGTCCCATGCAAAATTTGAGGGTTTTGCCCTCTTGAAGTTCAAAACGTGTATGGTTCTTCAATAAAATCGTGAAGATTATCAGCGGCTTTTGAGCGCGCGCACATCGTGGGCTCAAATTGAATGTTGAAAAGTAGCCAACCACCTTAAGGCCATTTCCAAACCTTTATCCGGTTTTTTCTCCCCAGTGAAAACGGAATTTTTTCTTTGCAGATTGGCCTTCCCTCCATAAATATCCGGTTAATTTACGCTACGTGTGAAGACAATTTATTTGAAAACCGAATTAAAAATTCCGTTTTGGGGCAAAAAATATCCGGATAGGAGTGCACGGGGCCCACCTCTAAGACAATATCTTAGCGGTACGATAAAACAAACCTAACAAATGGACAACGGACAAATGAAGATAACCTCCTCAAATATTGTTTCCTTTATTTCCTTTTCTAGCAAAACAAAAAGTTAAATAGAGCAAATTTATTGAGTTTCAATTTGATTCATAATTGTAAAGTTCCGAATCAATTATGCGTTTCCTGAAAAATACGATCTAATGCTAAACAACGCAACACATAAGGTAAAATATGTTGACAAATATATATCAAGTTTTAGAACCAAGAGCAATTTGGATCGAAAAGTACACACACGACATCCCGGCGTTTTTGTCAAGATTTGACTGACGGAACAACCTAATTCAGAGGTAAAGTGACACTATGAAATTGTACTGTCTTTCTTAAAGCAAGGAAGAGAAACATATATATTTATTATATAATTACCAATGAAATATCTATTTTTCTCTATTTCGAAGAATTGATATCTTCACACGTGAAAATAACATGTTATTTTCACGTGTGAAAATAACACCATTGCGATGGCTATTGAAAAATACACGGAAAGAATTGCCTGAAAAAGCCAAAACATACTTCGTTGATAATTCTATAATAAACAGAATATTACATGGGCGCGCGGAGATACGAAATTTATCTTCTCGTGTTGAAAATCTCTCACTCGTTCGCTGCGCTCACTTGTGAGAGATCTTTTCAACACTCGAAGATAAATTTCGTATCTCCGCGCGCCCATGTAATATCCTCTATATATTTAAGAAAATAAAACTAATAATTGATGTTGAAAAATAAATAAAATGATAGCAACAAAAGAAAACTTTACACCGCTGCTATTACTGCATAAGTATAGTCGTGATCGTTGGTAACAAGCTGGTAGTCTAGAGTATAGGAAGATTAAAGCCTTGTGCAAAGTATTTCCTTCATTTCACTGTATTGCTTTTTTTCTTTCTATTCAGAAAAAAGACAAATAGAAAATTTGTATGATGGCGTAAATTGAGTCCCACCACCAAGATGGTTCGCGAATTTTTTTTTTTTAAATTCAAACTTGTATTCCCTCATAAGAATAGTAAGACAATTGGTGCTGATTAACTGAACAAAAGAAAGTGTGCAAGGGATTCTGGTAATGGTAGTCAAAAGACGCCGTCAAGCAAATGTTCTATTATTGGTAAAAAGAATGTCTTTTAACATAGTGTAGTCTAGAGGATATAAGTAGATTAAAACCTTAGGCAAGGTATTCTCTTCTTTTAACTTCTTTTTTTTTTTTGTTTCTCTTTGGAAAGAAAACAGATTTGAACGGTAAAAACACTTGTACAGCACGCGAATAGTGTAGCCTAGAGTATATAAGTAGATTATAGCCTTAGGCAAAGTATTCTCTTCTTTTAACTTCTATCTTTTTTCGTTTCTATTTGGAAAGAAGACAGATTTGAACGGTAAAAACACTTGTACAGCACGCGACCACATCACATTCACGAAGTCAAAACGTTTGAAATTAATTATTACACGTTTTGTTGAGTTTCTAGCTGTAAGAGTAAAGTTTGTGTTCTTTTTCAGGCTTTAAGATCTTTCTAGGTCTTTGAAATCGAAAAAAAAAAAAGCGTTGATATTTTTCCAAAAAAAACTTGTTTATAGTTAGGTGGGCAACTCATTACCATACTATACTACTTTATTTGTCAAAAGAGTCTCAGTAGCTAGTCTAAATAATCTGTGGATGCTGGGTTAAAAACGCCAAAAATATTAACCCAGTTAACCAATGTTTAATGGGAAAAAATGCCCGATTTTTTAAAGGATTAATACCTAGTTAATACCTAGGTGTAATCCAAATGAATATGAAATGAAGATCAAAGAAAACCGATTTGATTAAAGATAAAATTAAACTACAATTGAAGCAAATTGAAAATGGAGTGTTGACTCTCAAGTGAAATAGAACAGATAGTCTTGCGAAATCCTTGGTAATGATTCTGAAACCGATTGCCAAGGTAAGAATAGATAGGTAACATTTTGAAGAATTATTTTTTCAAGAGCCGAGGTTTCTCGGTTCTTGTCCGATTAAGTTGAGTTAGCTATTGTAGTTATTTGTCCTTTTGTGTTAACAGCGCCAAACGGGGACTGTTGCAATACAGGCAATGTATGGCAAATTATGCTCCTTGTTGTTCGAGTTCAGTTCTCAATTCTTACTAAACTGATTGTTATGATTTTGATAAAAATTATAAACCAATATAGCAATATATTTTCTAGTATTTAGAAAAATTGATATCAACACCAGATTGTTAATATGATTCAACGATTAATATACAAAGATAATCCAAAAGTGATTGAGCAAGTGTAAACATATTAGTTTCCAAACGACCGACTTCCCCCCAATAATTCACTTTTATATATAAACTATATATATATCAATCTTCCCAATTACAGGTTAGCTGAGTGCTTCGTAACATAGAGAATGTCAACACGACAGGTACTATAGGTAAAATGAATCTTTTATACCATGATTCGTGGACATTTGAAGAAGTCTCGCGAAATAGCGTTGAAACTAGGGCGGACGTCGAGGTAAATCCTAACATAACGCTTCTATTGGATTTTCTCGCTAGAAATTTTGAAGAGCCGCGTTTTTATGTTTTCTGTTTTGCTGTATTTGTTTGTTTATTAATTTCAAGTATCTGAGTCAATATCCAGCACTAATTTGATCCTGGATAATGTAAATATTATGTGAAACAATATCGAGTGACATTTCTTCTAGACAGAATGGAAAAAGAATGAAACATAAGTGTTTTTTTAACTTTTAACATTGGAAAATGAAATTTCAACTCTTGAAGATTCGAGCATTGCAAAAGAACCACTGCCTCAAAAAATACATTCTAGTAGCAGCAATCTAAAATCAAGACACCTCAGCTGTTAACGATTCTTACCTTAGAATAAAGAAAGGTCCAAAGATGTTATGTAAAACTTTTCAATGACTTTCTCGATCCTTTTGGCTTTCAAGTTGCCAATCACAACAAATCTGAGCGATTTTGAACAGATTTTTTTGGAAATTTTAATTCGATGAATGGCGAGAGCTCTTCGTTGGCTTTATTAGTCTGTAACCACAACATTTTCATAGTGTTGGAATAATAAGGGCTTCTTCAGCATTGAAATTACTATCATTAATGTTTAAAACGAAAAACCGACGTTGTCCTTCAGCCAATGACAGTTATACAAAGCCCCAGGGAGTTAAATTATACATAAAGGATTCTGTCGGTAAAATCTTTAAATTCGGTCCGAAACCTTCTGTTTCTTTCTGGGTTTCTCAACTGAATTATCAAGACACGTGGTCATCAAATAAGATCAGTTGCGCTTAATACTATTATATTTCCGGCAAAAAGTACATTTAATTTCTTGATACATATTGTCAAATGAATGAGTTTTTCTGTCACGTAAAAACGTCCGAAAAGTCGATAAGAATATAATTATTTCATACGAAACTACTATACTAAATGAAAATGAATTTAATTTAAAATAGTATGATAAATTAAATTTATCTCAAAATATCCTTGATTTCAACCAGTTATAACATTCATCTACTTCCGAAGTTAAGAATATCTTATTTGGAACTTATTTTCCAAGCTTTAATTGGCCAAGTTGTCTTGAACTTAGAACAACTTATTGAAACCTTAATTAAATATTAATAATCGGTCTCATAAATGAGAAGATATATATATATACATATATGTACATACAAGAACAATTATTCAAATTTAGATGTCACTAATGCAGTCAAAAATATCATCATATATCATAAATTTGTCACGTTTTATTCTTTACAGCACTACTGACGCAAATAGATCCTGGTTTAGTTAATATTTTAGTCAAATAGACAATTTTTCAATTTGGTTATATATATTTGTAAGATCTTTATAAGAAGACTTCTAACATCGTACGGTTCGTTACCTAAGAGCCCATTCTCCTTGGGAACAAAACTTATGATTTCCTATACGCAAACTTTTTGTTACGTTTTTATGATTTAGTTAGATATTCGTGATCCATGGAAAGCCTCAAAACAGATAATATGTGCGCGTCGGAAAATAATTGCACCATTTATATTGGCTTACTTTGCTCTTTAGCTTTCAACACCCACCCACATTGATTTCCAGATTTTTCTGCATACATTGGCAAGTCAAATGATGAAGGCCAATTAGAGAGAGAGAGAGAGAGAGAGAGAGAGAGAGAGAGAGCTCTAAAATACACTCATTCTAAAAACACTAAATTTTCTGACTGATTTTACAAGTTTTTTAAAGCCTGTGATTAATCGTCCTAAATCGAGAATCGAGACAGCCATAACAAAATGGCGACAATACTGTATGATTTGGCAGACTAGTCTAATCAATATGGTGGCTTTTTTATTCTTATTTATGCATAAAGGAATTTTGAGTCATGTGGTTACAGCCCAGGGGTTGAAAAAATATCTTTGTTTTCTATGCAATTTAATAATAAGTATTTCCCTTTACTAATAGTTATTGTATAGTCCGTACTTTCTTCTACCTCCCATCTCTGCCACCACTTTGCCATCACGTCATTTGTTCTCAAGACGAATAGACATTTTTGACAAGAAAAAAACGAATATCGAAATAAATTGCTACTTCAACTACCTGTTTTTTTTTAATTTTTACGTTTATTTTGCAAAGCTTTCGACCTACACCGCGGATGATTGAATCTTCAGGGCAGTTGAAATAAGGAAAAGGCAAGAAAACGTGACCGGCAAACAAAGTAGAGCGAGCACAGTGTGTGCGTGCATAAAAACAAACGATCAAATGAATGATAATAAAAATAGCATCAAAAGGTGCAAAAGCTTATAATAACCGGAACTTTTTATTTGTTTTATGTGAAATCAGTATTAATTAAAAATTCAATGTCTTGTTCCCTAAATAGAATAAGAAAATTTGTTTTAATATTTTCAGGATTATCGCAGCATTCAAGCAAGATTTTATTTTTACTTTTAAAACTTTTATCAAAATTTTCTTTCCTCTTTTCCTAGTTTTTAAAATTTCTAGTTTTCTTGAACCGTTTATATTTCTGTATTTTTTAGAAACGTCTAGCTTCACTAACTTTTTAAACATCAAACATTAAATTATAATAGTGAAATATGCATTTATTACTCTTCAGCTATATAATCACACCTGTTATTACCTCAGTGCCTTCCATGTTTCAAATCAATATTCATATAGACTTCTTGAGCACGTTAGACGCCCTTCTCATCGAGAGCTACTATCATTGTCTTTCAACCATCTACCTTAGAACGCCATAGCTAACCAAGTCGTACGGGTGCTCATTTATATATTATATATCGTACATTAGGTTTTATTATATTTAGAAATATCCTCCATTAACTATTAAAAAAAAATTGTATTGTATTTAAATCAGACACGAAAATATACTCATATCGCTCCATATCGAGCTGCATACTTCAATAGGCCTCCTCGGCTCGGGCGTGATGTTTTCCCATTTCAGACCACGTATCATTCCTTTGAGAATAAGATTATTTGTTTGAGTTGTATCCATATTCATGTGTCTTCTCATGTGCAACCGTTAAACAAAGAAATGATACTCTAGGGAATGACACGTGGTTTGAAATGGGAAAACATTACGCCCGAGCCGAGGAGGTCTACTCTATAAATCGACCATAGTAAACTGTGATTGACGGGCAGACTGCGTGGACATGGACGTATTTTATCCTTTAAATCTTCGTCTGAAGAATTATGCTACCTCCTCAAAACATTATTAGTCATAGTGTAGCTTTTTTGCACAATTTTTTTTGTTTCTTGATAAGGCAAATAATCTATTCTTCTTTTTTAGTCAAATTGAATTCTTTTTTACCATCATGACAGAGAGTGACAACTGCAATATGATTATATCTATGATACGATATATTCCTATGTGTCTGGATTTATATATTTGTATAAAGTATGCTGCTCTAATGGAGTGACTTTTCGTGGTCTTATAAATAAAATACGATTGAATAATCTCTTCCGAGTAAAAAAAAAAAAATTTTTAAGTTCTTAATTTTGGACTTTATATAGGTTGGCAAATGGCTTTTAAAATGAGTAAACTAAACATGCTGTCTTAATTAACTGAAACTCAAATTAAGTACTGGTCATTAAAAGAATGCACTACCATTTACCTATAGCAAATGATAACCTGGCATTGAACTCATCTTATCAGTTGAGGTTGAGTTTAATAACAAAAAACATGTCTCATCAGTATATAAACATAAATCATAAAAGCTTTCAAGTCATTTAACATTTCACTTTCCACTTAAGATGGTCTTTTCGGGAAGATTCTTTTTATCTAGGGAATCTTTTCAGATAAGCATAGCAAAGTATTAATGAAGCCATTTTGAGGCCTCGTTGTCATTTGACAAGCACTTTTTCACAGCTGCAGAAAGAAAATATATCCACAAGTTCCCTAGTACGTCGTAGCTACTTCAAGAATAAAGACGTCTGCCATGAACTCTAAAATGATGTCCTCTAAAATGTTTTTATATCTCAAATTATTTACTTTTAAATCATTAAACCCGTTAGGGATGCACTCTGCAAAGAGGAGTGGTTAAAAAGTTAAGGATATACATTATATATTGTACAGTGGAACCACGGAAACCTGCTTGAGTACGGACGCTCGCCTATTAGCCATACCGAGGTAGAGGGAAAAATAGGGGACATATTTCCAATTTTCCATTTTTCCGTTTTCCATATTCTCTATTTCGTCTTCTACTCCTCCCCTATTCCAACGCGCCACGAAACAGTTTTATCCTAGTTCAACCTTGGTATGGCTAATAGCTTTTGTTACCTCACCTGATACTCAGCTTGAGCCCACAGGTATCTTCAGTTTGTTGTCAGCAGCACGGTTCTACATTGAAATCCAGTCAATAAAGAACACTTATTCCTTGAGTGCGGAACATTCAGTGAGAAAAACCTGTCGAAATAGAGAATCTTTGAACTTCTTTAAATTTGGAGCATGCAGTGACCCCAACGTTTATCAACATTTTATCAATGCCGTGTAACATGTAAACTCTGTGCTGATCAAAGCCATCAGGGCACAGCTCACTCACATATCGAAATGTAATTTAGATTGTAAGGTGTTTTTTTACTGAAGGGAGGAAAACCCATCAAATGGGAAACAATCGAATCCCAGACACCAGAGGGTGAGGCGAATGCACTGAAAATTTATCTGACGATCTTTGCTTTGACATTTTCTATGGAAATGTACTTGTGCCTGTACCTATTCTCCTCGCGCCTAAATGGCACATGAGGCCTTCACAGAGCTCTTAAGTAAGTGAAAATGTAAGTATTTTAAGAGAGAAAAGTCTTCGATTTTTCGATTTTCCTGTATCATTTTTGCAGTACTCGGACGTTTCCCAGAGTAGTTTTTGAGCTTTGATACACATGGCCTATTCTCCTAAGGCTAAGGCTTTTGCAGGTTTTATGCTGAATCTTAATGTTATTCTGAATATTATCAAAATTAAAATTTCTTTCCTTCGTCCTTTTTTTAGTACTGCTATGAATCCTCAATAAACCCGAAATACAAGGGTTTTGCTTGTAGAATAGGTCGTATGGCAATGAGGTAATTTAAGAAACAATCAAACGAAGTCACAAAAAAACAAACAAAAAAAAAACAACAAAAAAACAGTCCGCTATAGCAAAAGCCCAAGCCATTACATTTCGCCGCTATATTCCTTAAATTCGTTGCTATCAACAACTTTCCAAGATTATGCCCATATTCATATGTATAACATATAGTACCATCGCTAAAAAAAAAAAAAAAAAAACGGAAAAAATGCGCGATCAACACTTTTTCATACTACGTTTGCTTGTCGAAATCCCTTGTTAACATAGTAATAATAATAATAAGCATTTAGATAATCGGTTAATATTAACTAATTGCAGGACTATCGTGTTATCCGACTTACAAGAACCTTGTTTACTTATGTACTATACCGTGAATACTATGCTGTCTTTTTTCTCAGTTGATCAAAACTAATTAAACACGAATCCGAAAGTTGTCCAAAGAGTCCGTAATCAATGTGCTTTTCCCATGAGAGTTGTGTTTAATACAGCGGTGTTATAATATAACCTATCAAATAAAACAACCTTTGTCGAGTCAAAACAAGGATTATCATTGCTACGCTTAAGTTAACGCTATTGATAAATCAAAGACGGATAGCTAAACAAAGCAAACCAGTCTAAACTCGATTAACAACGAACCTATAGTAGTGGTCGTCCTACTGAAGATGTGAATCTTGTCTACAATAACTATGTACGAAATTTAACGTTTTGAAAGTTTTTTTGAAAAGCTGGAACATTGTCATTTCTCACATTGAGCCACTGTTTATTTACTTTATAGAATCCTGACGCTTGCTGACAAACGATAGAGCAGCCGTCTAAAGTTACAACACAGTCCCAAATCGAAAAGCACATCTGTGAGCTTAAGCAGGTAAGAATGTAATTGTTTTTGTAATTGTTTTTGTTGTATTTGATATGAAAAACAGCTTTACAAAACATGATGGTATGCCTAACAAAATACAACGTCAAGTGCCATTATTGGAAACGAAGTTTGAATTCGAGATTAATTGCCGTTAGTAAAGACATGGGAAGCCATACTGATGTCCATGCTAAGAGTATTGTAAAAATTACCGCTGTTGCTGCCTAGTAGACGTCGACTTTCTACGATTTTCTACGATTATCTCAAAAACTGCTAGATAACTTGTTCCCTATTTCAGATGTTATAGATTATGTGTAAGTACATTGAAGGTGAAAGACAAAGGACTAGATTTTCTTTGATAAGCTTTTGAATACCGTGAACTCATATCCGCCATATTGAAATCTTTGAAACACAGGAAGCCCGGTCAGAATTCTACTAGCGCGCGCAAGAAAACATGCGAAAAACGGATGCGCACGAAATCGCGAGCACTCAAATAAGATGTAGACACGTATATATACATAGGTAGATAAAGTACCATAAAACTGCAAAACGAGTTAGTTTACTTATGTTTTTGTTCGAAGAAAGAAAGGGAGGAATGAAAAGGAAAGTAAGAAAGAGAAAGGGGGAAAAGAGAGAGAAAACTTGAGTGAAAAAAGGTTTCTATTTGAAAAACCACCGTACATCCACGAACAATACCACAGAACAATATTTGATGACCCCCTAAGGCACAGATGAAGGACGAATGGTCTTCTTACTTTAGTTCCTCAATACATATTTTTTTCTTTTCAACCATTTTCATATATTTAACTCCAGGGAACCTATTACCTATACATGACTTTCAAAAACGAAAATAGTGAAGACATTTAATCGCATTGAAGACATTTTGTTTTGTTTTGAAAACGACTGCACGACATCTTAGCACGAGCAACTTACCACTCGATACAGTTTTCCAGTTCATTCTAGAAGTATTAAGATTATATAATGGTTTAGTTTTTATTTGAACAAATGAGTAAATAATATATTGACAATGCAACAAGAAAGCGTCCGAGGAGCACCAAATTAATAAACTCGATGACATTTTGTTATATATTAATAAAACTATTTTCAATGCCTCTGTTAACTGATTGGCTATTACAGTGAAACCCCTCTATACCGGACAGTGCTGGGACCGATAAAAATGTCCGGTTTAGCGGGGGTTCCGGTTTACTGAGGTTTTTGCAAATTACTTTTGTTATTGATTTGAATAGGTGCGATATCGCACCTATTGAAAATATGTTTGTGTCTAATCGTTTGGCGTCAATATAAACAAACACGTAAACAAAAATTCAAGTAAAAATATCAACAATAAGATCAAAAACTAAGCAAATTTCTTAATTTTTTTTCAAAAGAATGACAAGAAGAAACATTCTAAATACGATCTGAACAAAATCCCCGGTAAAATGGACTGGGAATGACCCCAAAGCCATGTGACATGAAAAAACATGGCGGTCGCAACTTCGCGAATCATTCGATCTTTAGTATTTCTCAACACTACTAAACCTTCCTTATGCATTCTGTTTGAACATTAATATCTAAAACAATTAGCTAGTCTTTATAATGTCTATTTGTGAACAACATTTACTATTTAAAGAAAATTCTCAATGATTTTGTGAGTTTAGAAGTTGTCTCTGTAGACTCAATTTATACACCCGAAAATACGCTAGTGACGGTAGTTCCGAAACGAAGGTACGTTCTTCCGGACTAGCGGGGTTGAATTCTATTGTCAAATAGCGTTTGGTACCGAAATTATCGTCCGGTTTCCGAAATAGAGAGGTTCCGGTTTACTGAGGTTTATTTTACAAAAGATATATGGGAAAAATTTCCGGACCAAAACGTTTGTCCGGTTTAGAGAGAATTCCACTGTATATATATATAGAAAGTGGAGAATCGTTTATCTTGCTTTTTATTGGTCATAAAGTTATTAAGTGCGGCATCGAAATGTTTTTCTTCTTTGCTGCGCTGAATGATAAAGCTACTTTCAACATTTGATGGCCGGTTTTGTCATAAATGAAGTTATTCACCAAACAATTTTTGCAAATGAGTGGCATTTTTACATTTAATGAATTCCAATATCCCGCTCTGTCTCTCTCCCTTTCTCTCTTTTCACTTTATTTCTCCCTTTCTTGTTCTTTTTGTTTTCTATAAAATATAAAAACCACACTTTTATAGCTTTTCTTTAGGATGTTTTCCGAAAAACTCAGTCGTAATACATCCTAGAAAAGCTTTCAAAAAAGTAACGTATATATAATGTGCTACATCGTCATGAAGAGCCTCGGACATGGCTGTTGCTAAGAATAAATTGGCCTAATGGAAAACTTCCTCTTCCTTACAAATGGAGCTATTGAAAAATCACTTCATTTACGATGCAGATATTTTTGACATATATAATTATTTTTCGGTTCATATATGGTCGTTACTCTTTTCAATACCGCGTTTGGTAAATTGAATTTTTTGGGGAACCAGCAGGAGTGGATCGAAACACTCAAAAAATGATTTACAGTGAACATCTTTACAACTCGGTGAAGCGACTTTCGATTAACCATACTAAAGTATTTTTTCTCAAACACTTACCTAGTTGTGATAAATAATAGCCAACCAATTTGTCTTGTTTTTTCAGTTTTCATTTGTATTATTATTCGGATAGTTATTTCATCGACGCTGTTACGGCGTCAAAACAAAACGCTCCTTGGTCGTGTATCGGTATTTCTTGCTATGCGATACTCAGTGTATACATTTTTTGCATCGTAATTTAGCAGAATTCCAAACACCGGCTTTGTCTGTGAAAATGGATGTTTACAGAAAAACTTGCCGGCCTTCTCAGAATCTGCTAGGAAATTTATTGGCGTTGAATGAATTATTGATCCATGTTTACACCACAAGTACAACTAAAAATCACTATCTTTCAAAGTTCATTGATTACAAAAATTGAGGAGCTGTTAGTCCCAATTAGTTTATTGCCGACAGGAAACGATTCGTAGGAGGGAAAAAATATATAACACATCAAAAATTGATACGAAAACGACAGAAAAAATTTTGAGGATATTTGTATGGAAACGATGTTTCCGTGGTTGCTGGATTAAGGTCTCAACATAACATCAATAAGTTAGTATAACTCACCATAACATAGTCTCATTTGGTGTCCGGCAGTCGATGTATGCCCCATATATATAGTTATAGCTATTTGTCCTTATCTGCCTTCAGTCTTAAGTGTTTGGTTTTAATTTATTATCATAACAGAATTGAAGGTAACGAGAAAGTTCAATAGCTGTTAGCTAAGGCTGATTTGACGAAATATGATACTGATGCACGAACTGCTAAAGCCATGGGTTATTCTGGGCCATGATTGGTGAAAATCAAAACCACACATATACAGCTTCCAGCAGCATATTGCAACTAAACGTAAACGTAACATTTCAACGTTTTCTTGATAGAAAAAAAAAAAAAAAGTAGCCCAAGAGTAAAATAAAATTTAACTATTGAAAAGTTTTTATTTTTCCAAATATATGGAAAAGTCGGAAGTCACAAAAATGACAATATTTCCCTCCCACACAACCACGATATCTAACATAAAAAATGCATTAAACTTTTTTACAAATTAGCCAATCACAATTGAGTATTTTAAAAAAATAGCCTCTGCACACGTTTTCCTTATTTTACTCTATTACGTCATCAGGAGTGTACAACAAACAGTTTAAACTCCAGAATTTGTCACCAACCTGTTATTTAGCATCATAAACGTGATTTGTGACTATGATTACGAATTTATTTGGGTTGGCCTTGGTTAATGTCGTCGCACTGTAAAAATCATCGTATTTTATATTATTCACTGTTCTCTCATGAGAAATGATGGAACGTTGACGTTTTGAAAGTCGTTGATGGTCAGGAGAATTGCAGACAGACACACAGACACACAGACACAAAGACAAAAACATAGAGGAGGATTACATACAGAGAGACAAAGACAGAATAAGTTTACATTTATGCATTTATTCGTTTTTGCTCTTAAATGTGGAAAAAAAGCTATAAAAGAGGTTTACAAACTCCATGCAAATATATTCTATGGTTTGGTTAGTGACCAGAAAGATTAGTGCAGCAGAAATGATATTTTAAGTCCAATAAGGTTATGATGAAATCAGTGATCAAACTAGATAGTATGAGGTTAGAGTGATGGTGTATGGTTGTATGGTACATATGATAAGATGGGTACAGCAGGAGGGTGAGGTAGTGGTTTTGTGTTATATCAGGTTGTGTTAATATTAGTATTGATATGAGGTTACAGTGATGGTCGTATGGTACATATGATAAGATGGGTACAGCAGGAGGGTGAGGTAATGGCTTCGCGTGTCATATCAGGTTATGTTAATATTAGTATTGATATGAGGTTACAGTGATGGGCGTATTGTACATATGATAAGATGGGTACAGCAGGAGGGTGAGATAATGGTCTTGTGTTAATATTAATATGACATTAGGGGGTTAGGAATGAGATAAAGTATAGATAAGAGGTATATACATACATACACATACATACATACATACATACATACATAC